TTTTCAAAATGTATAGCTTGAAATATTTTTTTAAATGTATAGTTTGGTTTGGTTTGTTTTATGGCATATTAACCTCAATGAGTTATTTAATGCTGACAAGATTTTTATTTCTGGTAATATTTTCTTTTTTCAAATATTTATTGCTGATACTAATTTTTTTAAAAGTATTTCTGGTATTAAAATCTATTTTTACTCTTTCATAGTGTTTTGAGTCAGGTTGTGGGGTCAACTATATGCCCATAGCTGGGACCCTAACAGGTGCTACCACCCCGAGTCAGGGTGGATCTGGGAACACCAGCAATTACGAGGTGATTCCACGCTCCTCAAAACCTCCTGATCAGAGGCCTTGCTGTCGAACGTAGTTTATCGTCTTACCCAGGACACGGATGTAGTTTATCGTCTTACCCAGGACACGGATGCAATTTATCGTCTTACCCAGGACGCGGATGCAATTTATCGTCTTACCCAGGACTGTAAAATTTGTTTTTATTTTTTATCGCTTTCTAGTAGTTTGAGACGACGTATCTAATTATAATTCTGCTCATCCAACCCTTCGTTCCTTAGCGCATTATATCCTGTCATTACCTCATAAATAATGGACTATTCCGTTTTGACCGCGTGGAAAGACGGAAAAGACACATCAGAGACGCGACTTGCTTTCAATGAAAGAAAGAAAGAAAGAAAGAAAGAAAGAAAGAAAGAAAGAAAGAAAGAAAAAGATGATAACATTTTCATGTGTTTAACGTCTGTTTCAGTGAAATGGAAAAATCTTTTTATTCGTACAACCTTCAGTCAGTTAAGTGCCATACGTGACACACGCTTTGGCGATCATGTCTCTTTCTATTCATGACTTATAAGCAGTAGACATTCCCGCAGTAGGCAGCCGTTTATTTCTGCGGTTGCCAACCAAGGCTATAGGACACAGACTCTCCTGCTATTCAACCCTTAGCTGACAGGGGTGTGGCAGAAGTGATGGATTCATACCTTTTCCCATGGATATTGGCGTGTAATTGAATGTAAAGAACCCTCTTAGTTCTTTAAATAACGGCCAGCAATCATATTTAACATTGTTGTTCCACCATGATGTACATTTTAACACTCCAATCAGTTAAGATCAGAAGCCATGAGAGCCATACCTGGTTTAGTATCAGGGCGTTACTGAACGGGATATTTACTGTAGCCCATCTTATTCCACCATGATGTACATTTTAACGCTCCAATCAGTTGAGATCATAAGCCATAATAGCCATACCTGGTTTAGTATCAGGGCGTTACTAAACGGAATATTTAGTGTAGCCCATCTTATTCCACCATGATGTATATTTTAACGCTCCAATCAGTTAACACCGGAAGCCAGGACAGCTATGCCCGGTATAGTTTCAGTGCCTTACTGAACGGCATGTTTACTGTAGCCCATCTTAATCCACCATGATGTATATTTTAACGCACCAATCAATTAAGATCAAAAGCCATGACAGCCATGCCTAGTGTAGTATCAGGGCGTTACTAAACGGGATATTTATTTTATTCATCTTATTCCACCATGATGTATATTTTAACACTCCAATCCGGCATTTGGTTTATAATCACATGTCACTTCATAACCAATGAGCGAGCGAAGGGTGAGATTTTTTTGATATTTCAATTTATTTAAAAGTCAGCCTAGAATCATTTTACGTATTTTACTTAGTTCACTTTTGGTTGGGTTTATGAGTCTTCATGCTGGGTTGGTTTTGAAATTTTCGGCCTGACGACTGCGTCTAGCATGAAACAGTCTGTCGCCTCTGAGTATTGACTTCAATGTTCACTTTTATATTTACACATGTTCTATCTCTGATATTGAACACTTTATCCCATAAATATAGCACACCTTAAGACTATATTTGTTCATATCATTGTTACACGCTCCTGAATACCTCCCGATATGAGGCCTTGCTGTTGGATTTAGTTTATCGTAAGACCCAAGATGTTGGAGTATTTGAAAAACCCACTGCACTAATGCCGTGACAATGCCCGACTATACTAATGGATGGCTAATAAAAGCCAATATATATATATATATATATATATATATATATATATATATATATATATATATGTATGTATGTATGTATGCATGTATTACCTGATGGCAGATCTGTGAAAAGACATTTTGGGGTTTGTAGTTTTATGCTGGGTCTATTAAAATTTGTTGTCAATATGAATGGTAATGTCCCAAAGGAGGGGTGACCTCATTAGATTCTCTGACTGATTAATGATGGCGTTCATACCATTTTTCAGCATGTGCTGCACTCTAATACTGACGACAGTAAGAAATAGGAAGACCAATATTATGTCGACCTTTGATTATTATTATTATTATTATTATTATTATTATTATTATTATTATCTCATTCAACTTTTCCTTTCTCCTTTCTGCTAATATGAAAAAAAGAAAAGAAAAATTAAAGCCAATTTCTTTAACCCAACTCATTAATTGATGATGTCGAATAAAGAATTATTCAACACCATCACTTGATAAGACACCAGAAGTGTTGAAACAAAATGGCTATTTTCGTAGTGATTTTAGAACATTTTTATGTTATAATTTTCGAATAAATAATTATTTTTGCTCTACTCTGTATTGAGCAATCCTTATGGATCATTTAATGCTGAAAATTTATTTTCTTCAGTGCATTAGTAATTTCTTTTACAAAAATGTATTGCTGGTAATATTTTTACTATGAAAATCTATTGCTGTTTTTTTTTTTTACTATAAAAATTCATTTTTATACTTTCCAAGTGTTTGGGAGTTCCCGATTTACCCATAACTTGGACCCTAACAGGTGCTACCACAACGGGTCAGGACGGCCCTGGAAACAACAGCAATTCAGAGGTGGTTACACGCTCCTGAAAACCTCCCACTCTGAGCCCTTGCTGTTGGATGCAGTTTATCGTCATACCTAGGATTTTGGAGTATTTGAAAACCCGACTGTACTAATGCCGTGACAATGCCCGACTGTACTAATAGATGGCTAATAAAAGCCAATATATATATATATATATATATATATATATATATATATATATATATATATATATATGTATGTATGTATTACCTGATGGCAGATCTGTGAAAAGACATTTTTTTTTTTTTTGTAGTTTTATGCTGAGTCTATTAAAATTTGTTGTCAATATGAATGGTAATGTCCCAAAGGAGGGGTGACCTCATTAGATTCTCTGACTGATTAATGGTGTTCATACCATTTGTCAGCATGTGCTGCACTCTAATACTGACGACAGTAAGAAATAGGCAGGCCAATCTTATGTCAATCTTTGACTAATATCATTATTATTATTATTATTATTATTATTATTATTATTATTATTGCCACCTCATTCAACTTTTCGTTTCTCCTTTATGCTAATATGAAAAAAAAAAAGAAAAGAAAAATTAAAACCAATTTCTTTAAGCCAACTAATTAATTGTTTTTTCATTCCTTTCACGTCACATAATCACAATGTGCCTACGGACCTCTCCCACTTCTTTCCTATCCCTATCTCCACTCTTCGCCTTGATTCTTTTTTTTTTCAGTTCTTTTCCGTCTGCTCCCCTTTTCCCCCGTTCCCGCCATTTGACCCCCCTCCCCGCTTGCTCCACTTCACACTCGTCATCTAATGAAAATGACTACCCCAATCGACGAGGAAAGTATTTTCTAAAAAGCAAATGACATGCGATTGCATATTTACCCGGACTGATGAATTCTGAGTGCTTATCTCGCAATCCGCTGAAAAAATTAAATAGCGATCACTGTCTATGAAAATAGAATCTGTCCAGCGTTTATTCAACGCACTGTAATTTGAAATTTAGAAAATCTTTCTTTTAAAACAATTTTTCAGGAAAATAGGTTTTCAAGTCCAGTAGCTGTTATCGCTCTTTCCAATATTGATGGAGGTTTCCTTCCTAACCTTTTGTTTGAAGTAGTGTGGAATGTCAACATCTTGATTATGTCATTATTTTTTCTTCTCAAGCCCAGTAGCTGTTATCACTCTTTTCCAGTATTGATGGCGGTTTCTTCCTAACCTTTTTGTTTGAAGTAGTGTGGAATGTCAACATCTTGATTATGTCATTATTTTCTCTTCTCAAGCCCAGTAGCTGTTATCACTCTTTCCAGTATTGATGGCGGTTTCTTCCTAACCTTTTGTTTGAAGTACTGTGGAATGTCAACATCTTGATTATGTCATTATTTTCTTTCTCAAGCCCAGTAGCTGTTATCACTCTTTCCAGTATTGATGGCGGTTTTCTTCCTGACCTTTTTGTTTGAAGTAGTGGAATGTCAACATCTTGATTATGTCATTATTTTCTTCTCAAGCCCAGTAGCTGTTATCACTTTTCCAGTATTGATGGCGGTTTCCTTCCTAACCTTTTGTTTGAAGTACTGTGGAATGTCAACATCTTGATTATGTCATTATTTTCTCTTCTCAAGCCCAGTAGCTGTTATCACTCTTTCCAGTATTGATGGCAGGTTTCCTTCCTAACCTTTTTGTTTGAGACAGTGTGGAACGTCAACATCTTAATTATTCGATTATTTACTCTCCCCAAGTTGTTTAGCTGTTATCAAGTCCCCCAGTATTGATGGCGGTTTCTTCCTAAATTGGTACTTTTGTTTGTGATTGTGGAATGTCAACATCTTGATTAAGAATGTCATTATTTTCTCTTCAATTCATTCGTAGCTGTTATCCATTTTTCCAGTATTGAGCTATGTTTCTAGCTGACCTTTTAGTTTGAAGTTAGTTTAGGAATGTAATTGGTTGATTATGTCAAAACATTTGGTAGTTTAAGCCCAGTTGCTGTTATCACTTTCTTTTCCAGTATTGATGGAGGTTTCTTCCATGAAAGTTTGTTTGAAAGTAGTGAAATGTCCACATTTGATTATGTCATTATTTTCTTCTCAAGCCCAGTAACTGTTAGCACAGCCTTTCCAGTATTGATGGAGGTAGTTTCCTGACCTTTTATTTGAGACCGTGTGGAATGCGCCAACATCTTTTTGAACTATTATTCGATTTGCATGTACTATCCATTTAAGTTGTTTCCGCTGTCAGAAGTCCTCAAATGATGTGGTTTCTGTTAAATTGGTACATTTTTTTTGTGATTCTTAGCGCCTGTCCACGAGGTTCGAAGAAGAATAGTCATCGCTGGGTCGTATTGGATTCATTCGCACGAAGCCATTTTTTACCATTGAGCTATGAAACTAGCTGGTAGTTTAGCTGTTAGTTTAGCATATAATTGGTAGTTTAGTAAACAGTTGGTAGTTTAGTAAACAGTTGGTATATATATATATATATAAATTTGATATTCATGACATCCATGCAGAAAGTCTTGATCTGACAAGATTTCATGAACATGCCAAAGATTTTATTTAATTCCTTAGTTGTGTAGTAACTTTTTTTTTTTTTGGAGAAAATTACCTAAAACAGCCTATTCTATGTTCAGTTTTCTTATATCCTATATTCAGTCAAATATTTAAAAATGCGAAATAGTGTCTTTTTTGAACTATCAAGAAATTGTATTCTGATCAATTTTTTATAGAAATAAATATATAGGCCAACGCACTGTTTATAATAAACAGTATTAATAACATTTACCAGCCTGAATGTCCTAATTTAAACATTCAGGAAACCTATGTATCCTCCGAAACACTTGTTGACAACACTAACCAGGTGTTTATTATAAAAAAAAAAGCATTTAAAATATTTGTGTCTATAAAAAAAAACGGAAAAACAACAAATATATTAAAATAATTGTCAGAACTTGGTCCATTTCTTAATATATATATATATATATATATATATATATATATGTGTGTGAAACAAACTGTGTGTGTATTTACGAGTTAAAATATTTCATCCTTGAAAATGGCTAAATGTATAGCCGAAAGCGCTCGGATAAAAAGAACATTCGATAATTTTATATAATTTATCATCTGAAAAGAAAAAATTATTAGATCAAAAAAAGCTAAATCAAACCACCTTGTCTGTTGTATTCAATGAAATGTACACATGTGGAAATCTCCATTCTTTTGTCTGATGACGGTCACGAGACCGAAACGCGTTTAGCAAAATTATGGAAAATAAATATCGAGAATATTTTTTTTTGAAGAAAAATTAATTATTTTTAATAATATGTAAAAACTCCACTTTCACCTGAAGACGGTTGGAGACTAGACCAGACACACGTGTCGTGAAATTATGTAAATAAAGTATATATTTTTCTCAATAAATCCACATTACAACCAAAAACGTTTGCGGCATATATATTATATATATATATATATATATATATAGCATTTAAAACAACCGCGTACATAATTCCGGAAAATCCTTGTTGAAAACACAAACATGAAAACAATAAACAAAAACTAAAAATTCTTGAAGCTATATACATAAAACAGTTGAAACCTAACCCGAACAAAATTTCAAAATTATTGAAATTGTCATCTTTGATAATGGCTTATGTAAGCCGAAAACTTAGATTGGATTTATATATGTATCAATATGGGGATTTCCTTTCGTCTTTCAACGATAATGTGATTAAGCTTATCAGACAATATGAAAGGAAATTACTTAAATTAAATAGACAAAACTTGTCTATATTATTTAATGAAACATGCATTAATGAAAAATTGCTGCCTAAATATATATATATATATATATATATATGATATATCCCGACACCGGCATGAGATTTGATTATAGTGGTGAAAGGACCAGCCACACTTTTTGAGAGACGAATACAGAAACCTGGTGCATGAATGCATGCCAAAATTTTAGAGGTTTTGAATATTGTCCTTCTCCTATGTCCATGTAGTCTGTCCTGCTATTTTCCACTGAGGGAGATGATCTATCTATATATATATATATATATATATATATATATATAACAAAATATCCAGCCGGGCTAAACCATAAATTTAATAATACAGATAGTACCAATATTTGTACTCAAATAAATCAAAACCTATCCACATTTCTCACCCACACAAGACAGACATGCTTACGGAGATGTGGAGGCCTCACACTGATACAGTCACCCACACGAATATACAAAACTTACACACATCATACTCACTCACTCCCTAATGAGCCAAAATGATAACACACACCCACAGCAATACACAGGCTTACACATATCATACTCACTCACTCCCTAAGAACCAAATAACACACACACAAACACTAAACAGAGACACATCCCCTCACCAGGTCCAATAAAACTGTCAAACTGACCAGAGAATTCAGGATAAAATGTATCTATCCAGTTCTTATCTCAAATAACAACTTAAAAGAGACTGTTTGACCAACACAAGGAATGTTAAAAGATTCATGTTAAAAAGATAAAAAAAAAAAAAAAACAAATGAAAACTACAGACAAAAAGTTCATTTTTTCCAGCAAAACATTCATTTCTGTAGTTTACTGCCACCAGCAAGCAGAAATATTTCTCCTCCTGATGATGGCCATTTTAATCGAAACTAGTCGATGAATCTAAATGAAATAATAATAAAAAAAAACGAAAGAATATTAATCTACAACCCAGTGTGTCTAAAGATTTTAATTTTTTAATATTTTTTATTGTTCAAATATATATATATATATATATATATATATATATATATATATATATTAAATTGATCAAATGATCGAGCACTGAAGTATTTGAAATACTGAGTATTTACTAATCCTATACCCTGAATTATTATAATGGATTAATGATGTGTGTCATTCATTCAAATTGGTTTCGTTCCTTTTCCAGGTCATAATTTCTGTTTTTGAAACGTATCGACAGGAATCTAGTGTTGACAGTTTTCTCGTCCATCCGGTCGTATATCGCTAAAGTTCGTAGAATTTTAAATGAGGACTCTATGGCGCCAGACATCTTTTTACAATCAGGCCAGCGAGACTTTCAGTTTAAAGACAAGGCCAGACCCACGTTAATTATACATTCGTAAACACTTACTCACACTTACGCACGCCTGTACACAGAGAACGTGACACAATATTTTAATGGGTCGACTCGTCTTTTTAGATCAGAAATAAACACAACTAAAAAAGTAATTAAGACATCTGTGTCGTGAGGGCTAATTTCCCTTTCTGTCTGGTAAATATATATATATATATATATATATATATATATATATATAATATATATATATATATATATATATATAAAAGAGAAGCAACAGTATAATCTGAAATGTTCGGCCCTTTGAAGCAATTATGACTTTTTTTCGTATTTAAACTTGATATATTTTCTAATGTAGTATTTTAATTAAATTTGAAATGTGAAACTTTTACTGTCAATAAAGCAACGCTAACTTTTTTAATCGATTTCACCCCATGTAAGGCAGTAAAGCCACTAAGACACAAGGGGTTACAGGGTGTGGAAGAATTAGGAACAGAAACATTAATAATGAGCGAGAACAGGAAAGAATAATCAGGACATTAGATAGCCGAGAACATGGCATTTAATTTTTTTCAGATTAAAATTGGCTAGAAAGCATGCAGCCGGAAGGGAGTTCCACAAGTAAGGCAGTAAAGCCACTAAGACACAAGGTGGTCACAGGGTGTGGAAGAATTAGGAACAGAAACATTAATAATGAGAGAGAGAGGAGGAAAGAGTAATCAGGAGGACAGTAGATAGCGATTGACATTGCAATTAAATTTTTTCAGATTAAAGTTGACTAGACAGCATGGAGTCGGAAGGGTTTTCCACAAGCGATATGTGCGAGAAAAGAAACTATCAGCATAAACTTACGGCCACATCTAACCACCTCAACTATTAATTGATGAGACCTCAACGCCAGTCTAGTACTGACCTTCAATTCAAAAGGTCTAAGTAACATAACGAAAAGTGATATTTATTTTGTAATAAAATATAAAAATGTGGCACAAGGTCAAAAGGGCAAATGCAGAAAGGATGATCTTCTGTTTTATAATTAAACTTATCTAGCCAGAATCACAGACCCAAACAACAATCAAACCGCCTGCATAGAAAATGAATTAAGTAGCAACAAAAAATAGAACTGGACTTGAGACAAGGATGTGACTTCTCGCCAGACTTATTCAATCTCTTTATAATAACAATCCTCATCCATGGTAGTGAATGCTGAACAATTTCCTCACATAGGAAGAGAAGAATGGCGGCAACAGAAATATAGTTCCACAGAAGGATGCTGAGAATGCCATGGGCGGAGTGCATATGCAACGAAGAAGTCTAAAGGAAAATGGAAACAAAAAAGAAGGCACTTGTACTCAGAATTTCAGAAGCGGCAATTGAAATTACTTGGATATAAAATAAAGAAGGGGGGGCTTGGAGAATTTGACACTCACATGACATCGAGAGAGAAATGGACAGAGCAGTGGTTCCTAAATGGTACTGCGAAAGAGGATAACAAGTGAGACGGAATAATTAAAAGACAACCAAAGATTTAGAAACAGCTTGAAAAAATTCTTATGCCCAAAATAAATATGATTTCAAAATTTAAAATATTATTATGGATTATTTGTAATTGGATGCATGAATCCCAGTATAAATAGTTATAAATAATTATTGACCAATTTTATCACTGTGATATTTTTGCATCATTTCGAGTATTAAGAATATAGTAACTAGGGTCCTCAAATTAGAGGAAAAAAGAATATTCGGACAGTTTTTATATAATTTATCATCTGAAAAGAAAAAAAATTATTAGATCACATGAGAAATTGTATAAAAAAGCTAAATCAAACATCCTTGGCTGTTGTATTCAATGAAATGTGCACATGTGGAAATCAAAACCCTTTGCCTGATGAGGGTCACGAGACCGGAAACGCGTGTAGCAAAATTATGGAAAATAACGCTAAATATTTGAATGAACTACAGCCAGGAATCGCGACTTCAAAATCTATCGCAAGGGGCAATGTAGACTGGTCTTTACTAATTTCAGAACTGTCTTTAATTGCTGTAAGAGAGTCTTGGAAAACGCAAAATCCAATTACGGCACTATGGAAAAGACACCCAAGAGTCGATCACTACAATCTTAAGCTGTTCAAATCTAGTATTGTTGCCTTTTTGTTTTCATTTCTTTTTATTATTTCAAAATGCTTTTAACTCGAAAAATATGCAATGCTTCTACGATGAGTTTCAGTAAAGTTGTCGGCGCAATTCTTAAAATGTAACTAAATAACCAAACATGAGAATTCATTTTTTTCCTTGATCAGGCCGAGAACTTTTTAGCATCCCCTCCTAAAGGAGCATCTCCAAGAACGGATGAGGTATAGAGCTGATCTAAAATGATCGGCTCCCTGTACCGCTCCAGTAAGTATCTGACTCCTCCTGCTATCCTCTATCTTTATAAGAGCGAGACCAGGCCCAAAATGGGGGTACTGTTACCATATTTGGGAAGGATCTCACTTTCCAGTCTTGAAAGTTCAAAAGCGTCCTTGTTGGAGAAGAATAATTTTCCTCTCTCCAACCCCCCCTACCCCCCCCTCTCTCTCTCTCTCAGGCAAGATATCGCAACTACAATGGAAAGTGCTCGGACGAACTACATTCCTTGGTTCCACCAGGCCCTAACCTTCACGGCTTGGACCCGCCATGCCACTTACATAGCAGCAATCCCCCACACACACATTCTCTCCGTATCCCATCGGCGACAAGTAAGTTCCACTCGAACAGCTTCTTCTTATGAACCACTGCCCAGGGGAAAAGACTCCCAAGAGGATGTTTCCCGTATCACTACAATCTTAACCTGTTCAAGTCTAGAGTTAACCATTATCTTCCCCTCCTATCCATATAAACTACCCCTTAACGTAACCCTCTACTTCCAATAGCCCCCGGGACTTGTACAGGGTGAAGCTTACTGTAATAAAAAATAAAAAATAAAAACACTGGGATATGGAGAGGCAGGGGTGTGTCTATCTGACCAACAAATGTAACTGAGGGGTGGAAGAGATGGTGAGAAACAAGAAATTACTAAGAGCTCTAAGGGATAGGAAGTTGTGGAGAGCGATTATTGATAACCAAATGTCAAGAATAAATTTCGTTGTAAAAATAGAAGGGAAGAACTGAGAATATTTCGCCGCTGAATATTCTTCTTCTTAACAGAATATGTTATCAGTGGGTCAATTTTAGACGTGCCTCTTGGCTTAGGATTGATTGTGTTACTCGTTTTGTCTTTTGTTTTTCTATTCGAGTCAGGCAAGTCAGGGATCCTAATCTGTGTTTCGCATTGGAATGTTTTTCGATTTCTTCAGTGCTGACTAATGATTTCAAAGTGTGTGAACGCTTTGCTAGTCACTCCTTTGTGGCACAAATACACAGAGAAACGGGAGCGTTGCAGGTTCACTGGTAGCATGATAGACTTCTGAGTCGAAAGAAAGACAGAAAGAATAAATTCTTAGAAAGTAATTCCAGAACAGCGAATATCAACATTAACAAAAATAGAAATGTTATGGCGGATGAGTCGATTTTTATTGTTTGTTCACGACAAGATTTTTTTTTTTTTAATATTGTTTCTTTTTTTTTGTTTTGTATATTTCGACATTTTAATTGTATCTTTATTTTTTCTTTTCTTCTTCCTCTTCTGTTTTATTCTTTATTTTGTTTAATTTGTTTAATTGCTTTTTTCTTTCTTTTTTCTTTTTCCTTCTTTCTTTTATTTTCTCATTCTCTTTTCTTTTTTTCTTTTTCCTTTTTCTTTTATTTTCTCATTCTCTTTTTTCTTTTTTTTTTTTTCCTTCTTTCTTTTATTTTCTCATTCTCTTTTCTTTTCTTTTTTTTTTTCCTTCTTTCTTTTTTATTTTCTCATTCTCTTTTCTTTTCTTTTTTCTTTTTCCTTCTTTCTTTTATTTTCTCATTCTCTTTTCTTTCTTTTTTCTTTTTCCTTCTTTCTTTTATTTTCTCATTCTCTTTTCTTTCTTTTTTCTTTTTCCTTCTTTCTTTTATTTTCTCATTCTCTTTTCTTTCTTTGTCTTTTTTTTCTAGCTTTTTTTTGCGCCCATTTTTCTATTTTTATTTTCTTATGCATCATTATTTTGTTTTCTTTCGTTTCCTTTTGTCATTTCTCATTCATTCTTTCCTTCCTTCCTTTCTTTCTTTCTTTCTTTCTTTCTTGCCTTCCTTCCTTCTTTCGTCCCTTTCTTTTCTTTCTTTTTCTTTTCTTTCCTTTCTTTCTATCTTTCTTTCTATTCTTTCTTTCTTTCTTTCTTTCTTTCTTTATCACTGTCTTCTTTCCTTCACTCTTTTTACTCGGTATTTCTTTTTTATTTCCTTGTCTCTTTTTCGGCTTGTTTTTTGTCGTTTTTCTTTTTCTTTCTTTCTTTTTTCTTTCTTTCTTTCTTTCTTTCTTTCTTTCTTTCTTTCTCTCTTTCTTTTTTTCTTTCTTTCTTTCTTTCTTTTTTCTTTCTTTCTTTCTTTTTTCTTTCTTTCTTTCTTTCTTTGATAGAATGCTTTCTTTTATTTACCTCGCCCATTTCTTTATTTTCCTTCTTTCTTTCTTTCTTTCTTTCTTCGGTTTTCGTTTTTTTCATTCTCTTTTCTTTCATTGTCTTTTCTACACTTTTTTTTTATTTTATTTGTTTCTTCCTTTCTTCTTATACGCCATTGTCGTCTCTCGTTTCATGTTCTTAAAGTTTCTCTTTCTTTCTTTCTTTCTTTCTTTCTATTTCTCTGTCTCCTTTCCTTCTCTCTTTTTTTTACTTTCTTTATCTATTTCATTTTCTTCTCTCTTATCCAGGTTGGTTTTGTCGCTTTTGTCATTTTCTTTCTTTCTTTCTTTCTTTCTTTCTTTCTTTTCAGTTTTTGTCTTTTTTATTCCATTTTCTCACCACTCCACCCAGCATCCACACATTATTTTCCCCCCCTTTGATTCTTCCCCGACCTTTCCTCACCCCCCCCGTCATCCCTGTGCACACCGTCCCACCCCCCCCCATTACTTCCCAGACTCCCAATTGGCACCAATTTCAAAGAGGTCACGTTCAAACATCGCCAGATTCCAACCTGCATTCCTTACATGTTCTTGTCTTTCAACCTCATTTCTTCTCACAACTGCTTCTATTTACGCAAACACATTTCCATTTGACAAAAACAATGCAACACATTTTATTATTGTGAAATCAGTGCCTAGTCTTGCACAAGGCCATCGGTCGGATTAGAACGCTTAAAATCTATATTTAAAAAAAGAGATGATTTTCTGTTTATCACACACTATTTACCTGGGATTTTGCAGGTGCGTAATTTTTTTTTTTTTCACTAATATTTACCAAAAACAAGCCTCAAGAGCCATTCAAAACAGAGGATTACTGAATGTGGTCTGTGATATGCAAGAACAGGAATTGTGTGGATATGGAGAATAGTTAACGACTGACTCTGGACTTGAAGAAGTTATAATTGTTGTGTACGAAGAAGCATCCACACGGGAGTTTGTTTCACAAAGCAGCAGCAGCAGCACTTGGGTGACGGTGGGGTGGGGGGGGTTAAGCCGTCTGACTGACTGACTAACAGACTACAACTGACATGCAAAGAGAATGATGGTGTTTTGAATCCATACACGTAAATTTATGCTAGATAGATAGATAGATAGATAGATAGATAAATGTTTTTACGTACAAGATAGATAGATAGATAGATAGATAGATAGATAGATAGATAGATAGATAGATAGATAGATAGATAGATATTGGGAGCATTAGATACATACATAAAAATAAAAAAATATAGCTGGCCACTCATATTCGAGGATACCTGTCTACTAGGGCGCCTAGCCAATCCCTATTGTAGACGCTCGCTCAGGCACATTTGTGCTTGTTCAACACCCACTGACCCCATCTGTGGTTTATACTGCAACTGAGCCGACCTTTGTTACAGTTTCTGGGAGATAGTGTGTTAGCTAACGTGATCAACAATTTAAACAAGGCCAGCAGGCTCAAGCCCTCGGCCACGATTACTCGTGGCTTTGTGCTAACACAGCTATCGACAGCCAACAGAAGCTCCGTCTACCCAATTTCAATGACAAGGCTTGGGTCAACCCGTGGTATTTTTTAGACGCTTTCCAAAGGTGACGCACGCTAAGATCGACTCCGATTCAGCCCGACAACATCAGGAAGACATCCATACATACATAGGTAGAGTGATTGCAAATTATTGCTTTATCTGATTAACTTGGAAAACAGCCTTAAAAGAAAAATCGAGGCATTTGCCAAAAGATAAGAGTAAAAAAATGAAAGAAAGCACAGAATATATGGTTGTCAGTAAGTGGAACGGACTAAAATCTGAGGCCTTCTGAGCAGGATTTATTATCAGTTGGTGCAATATTAATATAAGATATGCAGATGACACTGTGCTGATGACAGACACAGAAAAGAAACGACAGGTCTTTCTAGAACAAGATGTAAAAGGAAGTGATAAGACTGACTACCAGTTGTAAGAAGACAGAATGTATGGTGGTCCGTAAGAGAAAAAATGTATAGTTGTCCGTAAGAGAAAAAATATATGGTGGTCCGTAAGAGAAAAAATGTACAGTTGTCCGTAAGAGAAAAAATGTTTAATTGACCGTAAGAGAAAAATGTATGGTGGTCCGTAAGAGAGAAAATGTATGATGGTCCGTAAGAGAAAAAATATATGGTGGTCCGTAAGAGAAAAAATGTATGGTGGTCCGTAAGAGAAAAAATGTATAATTGTCCGTAAGAGAAAGCATATATAGTGTTCCGTAAGAGAAAAAATGTATAGTTGTCTGTAAGAGAAAAAATGTATGGTGGTCCGTAAGAGAAAAAATGTATGGTTGTCCGTAAGAGAAAAAAATGTATGGTGGTCCGTAAGAGAAAAAATGTATGGTGGTCCGTAAGAGAAAAAATGTATGGTGGTCCGTAAGAGAAAAAATGTATAATTGTCCGTAAGAGAAAAATGTATAATTGTCCGTAAGAGAAAAAAATGTATGGTGGTCCGTAAGAACAAAAAATGTATAATTGTCCGTGAGGGTAAACATGTATAGTCGTCCATAAGAGAAAAATATGTATGGTGGTCCGTAAGATAGAGAGAGAAAAAATGGAAATATGAAATACGAATCCCAAAATCAAACAACTACAGTAGTTTCAATATCTGGGAATTGTTATAACAGACAATGAAAAGAAAACAAAATAAAAAATCAAGCAATTATTACAATTGAAGAAAACAGTACAGTTACAACTGAAATTTTATCATCAAATTCATAAAATTCGTCGTCTTCGTTATCAAAACTCGGATACTCATTTTCAATACTATCATGAAACAATTAGGAAAAAATCAAATTGTATTTTATACCAATGCAACCGGAAGTTATAGCAAGAAAATGAAATAAATATATTTTACAAATATATAATTTGAATTTATTGCATATAATTTTAGTGAAACAAAGTACTAAGATTAAACGTGATGAAATTAATATAATGAATATTATCAATGATAACACTTTTAATCTGCATAATAGCCTTTTAAATAATGACAATAGGTATTTTAAAGTCACTCTAACGTCTAAGCTAATAGGAGTTGCCAGGTAGCTAATTTCGCCCGACTATCGCGAATTTTAGACCTACATATGGCATATAAAACGCAGGGGAATTTTAAAAGATATTTTTAGTAAAAAACAAAAAATGTGCGCCTTATATGCCGTCAAATACGGTATATAATTATTTATTTACATATTTATATATTTATTTATATTTATATATCCATATATATATGTATATGTCTGTGTGTTTGTGTGTGGGCAAACATTATCACAAACATCATCATCACCATGCCCACAAACAGAATCCAGCTTAACCAAAATCTTTGTGAAAGACCCATACCAACAGGAGTGTTTGTGCACGTCTACATGCGTGCATATGTGTATGTAAGGAAGTGTAAATTTGAATTACGGCCCAAGCGGTAGATCTGAAAAGCGTCAAGAGCACCTCTACCCGCTCTTTGTTGAAAGGGACATCGCTACATATAATAAAAGTTACGGTCCCGACAACGAAATAGAATTATAACTGCGTATGTATGTATGCCCGAACGCATGGATGTGTATCTACACCTAGCCTCGGATTGTTTATATGGATCGGTTTGTGTGAACTAAAATGCGCACACGTGTGTGTCTGTGTGTCTATGTGTATGAGAGTGTCATCCCAAACAAACACAGAAGTAAATTCTCCCTCCCACCACCAAACATAATCAAGCAAGCATTCATAGTTCCAATTTTAAAAAAATAACGGAGTTTGTCTGATGATCTCAAAAGCGTGAAACCCAGGGTCACAAACTCATATCTATACAAGTGAACACACACACATATATATATATATATATATATATATATATATATATGTTTGAATATATATATATGTATTTATTTGTATATATATATATATATATATATATATATATATATATATATTTCAGACAGCAGTGGGAAGGCCAGAGAGCACATCGGCTACTGATTAAAACAACAAAGATGAAAATACTAGTTTTGAGGATATCACAGAATAACGATAATACGCTATCTTAAAGTACGAGGTGGCCATAGAACACCGCAGTTTCATATTCGAGGAAGGCCGAAGAACACACCCAGTTGCGTGCATAAGGCGAGGGTGGGGGGGGGACAGAGTGTACGATGGCCCCCGGGCATCAATATCAGGAGGGCATCCAATCAAAGAGTGAAATAAAAATTTAGTTTTATATTTTCATTTATTTTTTATATTTCATCTGTTTTTACATATTTAAGATTTCTTCCTTTCTCGGTACTAGGCCCTATAGTCGCCCCCACTCCACTTCAGTCTCAGGGGTAGGCAATCTAGGAGTTGGCCCCGGGCATCCCCAAACCTCTGCACATCACTGAACACACCCAAAAAGAAAGATTATCAAAACAACAGAGAATACGATATTCGCTCTATATATAATATATAACATCAGTGTTTTAGAGGAAGATAAACTGAGTAATTTTCAAAATGTAACAATCGAAGCAATAAAATAACTTCTAGAATAATTACACCGTTTTAGAACTCGAAGAAAGCCGAAGAACATATCGGCTGAAGTGCTGAAACAAAAAAAAACTGAGGATATTTGTCAGAATAATGCTCTAAACTCTATAAGCGGCAGTGCGAAATACGTACCAGACAAAATACTGTGATGGACACAACAAGTATGACGACACTCAACAGAAATGTTTAGAAAATTATCTCCATTGTTTATCCCCCGCTCCCATTGCGAAAAGCGTGAAGCTCTTAAACGAATGACTCGGTGTTAGAAACTAAGAACTCTAGCACTGCACTGGTAAAGATTTAAAAAAAAGAAGAAAAAAAATTGACAAGAACGAAAAAAAAAAAAAACATTCTCCGCTAGTTTCCCGCCAATATTCCTCTTTGTCGACGTTGTGAAATAAACAGCGACATGCAACGCGGGAACTTTGACACCACGTGATTTAATTCACGAAATGCTTTGCGAATCACGTACGACATTGGAGTTCTGTTTTCGTGTCACTGTTTGCAGGATTAAGAATTTATTTCCTGTCCTGACATCCTAAGTGTTATCGCCATACGTAAGGTAAATCAATAAGTCCGCAGCCTAATGGAGAAAAGAAACCGTTTATATTCCCCTAGAAGCATTTACTTTTCAATATATCTTTCTTTGTCAATGCACTTGACACAACGCTACTAAATTAATCACATAAAGCGAACATTTTATGTATCTAGTGTAAATCCTCTAGACTCCTGTAGAGCATATAGCCACAGCTGCACCATATTAGGAACAAAGCCTCACCACACAATGTAGTCTCAGTAGCAAGTAGGTTTTCCCCGCGACCAACAGGTTTTGAATTCTGGATTGTCCTTCTCTTAGACTGGTTGCCAACCAAGGCTATAGAGTTCATTATGTCCTGTTTACCACTAGCTGAATAGAATGGAGAGATGTATTCATACCTTTCCAAGGGTATTTGGATGAAATGCAACGGCCTCGGTTGGAATTTGAACTCGACACCCCAACCCCACTTTTCCTAATAATAACCCCTACGTTACGAGCACATCCAAAGTGAAAATATTACTGTCAAAAAATCAGATGAAAATTAATTTAATTCCTGTATTAGGTCGTCGACTTATTGATTCAGTCATTTTAAACAATCTTAGTATTGTTATAAAAAGCAACAATAGTAAGATGACTGATAAACTTGCCAAATATTAATAACAGCGGAGGACACTTGATTAGGCTTTCATCACAATTGGTTGGGAGGATCAGATGCAATAGACAACAATAAACTACAGAAGAACTCAAAATTGATCGCTGCATTTAAATATTGCATTAATATTTAATTTTACCTTTTAAAAGTTCAAAGATAATCATCATACTTATTATAAAACTCAGGTTGTGTGTGTCTGTACGTTTATATATTGGATCGGATTTCCTACATTTTTCAACCGATTTCAACAAAACTTCACAGGACTACGTAAAATTATCTTGCGGTGGTTCTGACAAAAAATTGGAAAAACACAATTGTTTTTGCACGAAATCAATTTGAAAACACGATTAAGAGGCATCGCTGTCGCGAGAATGAAAGGGGGACAACTCATATCGAGTTATACTTATTAGAAAAACCCAGGTTGTTTGTGTATGTGTGTGTGTGTGTGTGTGTGTTCGTTTATGTATGGGATCGGATTTCCTACATTTTTCAACCGATTTCAACAAAACTTCACTTTTTTGGCAGGTAGTGTTTCTTATTGTCTTGCACACTTTTTTCTTTATTTTTACATTCAGAATGCTTTAAAAATTCCATTTACAAGACAATTGTTTATAATAAAATTCTATTCAATCGATAGACTCATAACGTTTTGAAAACAATGTTTTTCTTTGTGTTTGGGTTTGACTAAAAAAAAAAAAACGAAACGAAAAATAAAGCTAATTAAGACATGCGTGTCCGTCAACCTTAAACAATAATCTTTGTCAATTTTATTTTTCAGTCTTTATGATGGTCGATACTTGATCTATCTCTTACTGTTATATCCCCGGGCAACGCCGGGCTCTACTGCTAGTTCTTAATAATCGCCACTTAATTTAAAGACAGTTTGATGAATGTAGGTCCTTACTTTACGAAGAAACAATTATTTTTATTGCATGGGTGACTTTCTCTAGATTTCGCAACTAATTTCGATTATTCCCAAATTTATTTCCAAGTTATAAAAATTGTTACGTACAAAAATCACGGAAAACAATGGCAGTAATGAAAATTTGAGAATTCAAAATTCCAGGATTGTGAGTTTGGTTCCGGCCCGGAATGGTTTTAATTTGCTCACGGAGTTGGCCTGATTCCAAAATGGTATGATATGTTGGGCTACGGCCTTTAGAAGTAAAATTGAAAAAGTGTGACACACTGACATTCGCGTTTGTTATTAATAATAGTGTTTATAATTTCGATAAAAGTCATTATAATTCCAGAAATTGTTTTGGACTATTGAAAGAGTTCAATAGTATTTACCAGTCGTGTTCTATCCTGTCGGTACTTCCATATTTTTAAAGACAACTGGAACAAAAAGCTTAAAAAGAAACCTCAATAGCGACAAAATCTTGACGAGTATCAAAGTTCCGGCAGATCATGACCAGCTATGACAAGCTTTGTGCCAGGTCTCGCGGAAACGGGGGCTGGGCAAAAAATTGACCAATATTTTGACCAGTGACCCTAATGTACGCGCTCGGGTACAAGTTTATACAAGTGACCTGACTCAGTAGGGAGTCTTTGGTAAATATCAGTATGTGCTCCATCAGCAACAGTTCAAGGTAGTTACTGGAAACGTTGTCCTGAAAAGGATAGTTTATTGCCTATCGTTGCAGTTGACGAGTATTTCTGGAGCGGGGAGTCTGTTGGGGCCAGATGAAACGGCAGATGCTGGAGGCCTACTGGAGATTATGGTGACTGGCTAGCTGGAACTGCTGCTGCTGGAACGGATACTACACTAACATTTAGATATTGTCTCCATAAAATTACTC